CATACCTCGTTCCTGGGGGTAGGAGCCTTTTATAACCACCTCGCGCACTCGCTTCCAGGCTTCCGTTAGATCGGGCATGATTACTTCTGAACTCCTGCCAGTTCGGATGTCATTTCCTCTGGCCGGACAGAACCGCTGTTGTTCATTTTGTCGGAGCCGATTCTGCGGCTAGTGACGACGGTTGCAGGTGGCGGTAGCAGGAAGCCGTTTGAAATGCGGCTGTCAGGCGTCAGATCCCAAATTAGTCAGGTGTGTCGCCCTTGGATACGGACGTCCTTGGTGTCGGGTACGTTTGGTCAGCCTGGTGTTTCGGAAGCGTTGGAGTGGCGAGCGAGGTGTCTTGAGTTCGGTTTGGAGTGTTCCGAGCTGCCATGGGCCAGCTCGGGTCTGCTTTGTGAGGCTTGGGGCCTAGTATAGTTCGTGCTCCTTGCAGGGAGCTCGGGTTCTCAGTAGGGAGCTCGCTCTTAATAGGGAGCTCGGACTCCCAGTAGGGAGCTTGCTCTTAATAGGGAGCTCGGTCTTTAGGGAGCTCGAGTTCTTACTTGGGGAGCTCGGACTTAGGGAGCTCGGGCTCCTATTAGGGAGCTCGAACTCTTAGGGAGTTCGGACCCTTAACAGGGAGCTCGGATTCAGTACAGCGGTCTGGAGTTCGGGCTCGGTAGTGAGCTTGGACTTGCTTCCGATGTTCGCTTCGGGCACTCTACTGTCCCGAGCTGCTTGCCTTTGCCACGTGTTGGGCGATTGCGAGGTCGGGCCAAATTTCCCTTCATCACCTTTGTTTCAGAGGTTGATATTTGTGGATTTTTCTTCTCTCTCCACTCCTCAGGCTTGGGAACAATCTGGGTTACGCTTTTGTGGATTTCACCAGCAGCATTGCAACAAAAAGGTTCTACAAATCGTTCAATAATTACAAATGGAACAGGTTTGAATCGAAGAAGGTTTGTGAAATTCGCGAAGCTAAGATCCAGGTGATCTTCATCTTTCTATCTTTTTCTTTACACATTAAGCACTTTCCTCATTTTTTTTTATTTGGGTTTTCATTAGTTCTATATCACTTTCTTTCTTTCATGCATCCAGCTTTTGTTAATCTGGGTTTGTTTCAATTTCCTTCTGTTCCATCTGGCTCAGGGAAAGGAAGCTCTGCTTGCGCGTTTCCGGGCATCCAACTTCGCTTGTGATACAGTCCTTGGCTGCAGACGACATTCTCCAGATTGAAGGTTGAAACCGACTCCCCAAGCAACAGAGTGAGAAAACACGAGACAACGACGATGACACCTCCACTTCTTCTTGTTTCCGGCTTCTATCAGTTGCCGGTGATAGCAGTCCGGCTTATATCAGGGCAAAGTCCAAAATACATGAGGGGGTCGCCGGTGATAGCTGTTAATCACCGCCAGTTGGAAAGAGAGAGAGTGAGAGTGACTGGCGACGGCAGAGTCCGGTGAGTCTCGAGCAGGAAGTGGAACGGAACTTATGAGAAGCTAACGGCATAAATAGACTCCGTTTAATTCATTTCGCAGGTATTAAGCGAACGCACGAATCAAAAGACGCGTGGCGCGTCCTCGTGTTAAGCGAACGGTACGCCTATATAGCGTGTCTGGACAGAAGCCGAACTCGGTTTGATTTTCGTCTCCCAACTTTAAAACGCGATAATTCAAGTTAAATGAAATTTGAAAAAATAGAAATGTCCTTTTGAGTATCATCTATTTTTCTTTATCAACCATTTATATATTAATAAAATTGAATCGTTTCAAATCCAAAATTTAGGTTATATCTTGATAGATATTCTA